TGCTTACGTCATATACCGAAAGGACCGAGATGATGCTGTGGCGTCATCCGGTGGCGTAGCCATTATTATTAACCAAGGAGTAGCGTGTACACATTTACCACTCCAGATATCCCTTGAGGCGGTGGCTGTTCGAGCGGTACTTTTAAACAAACTCGTCACCATCTGCTCTTTGTATGTACCTCCCCACCACCGTCTTGAAAGACGTGAATTTCAGTCTTTAATAGATGAACTGCCTGAACCCTATTTGCTTCTTGGGGACCTAAATGCACATAGTGGACTCTGGGGTGATTCTCGCTGTGATGCACGAGGTCGTCTCATTGAACAATTTCTCTTCTCTTCCGGTGCCTGTTTGTTGAATAGGAAAGAGCCAACATACTATAACGTTGCCAACAAAACTTACTCGTCTATCGACCTCAGCATCGTATCACCTTCACTCCTACCCCTACTCAAATGGAAAACCATAAATAATCTATATGGTAGGGACCATTTTCCTGTACTGCTGAGTTCACAAACAACATATGAAGGTCCTCTACACGTTCCCAAATGGCTGATAAACAAAGCAGACTGGGAACAGTTCCATAACACTACACGTTTGAGTTGGACAGACATATGTAGGTTAAACATAGATGAAGCTGTGCAGTATTTCACAGCTTTTCTAACTGACGCAGCAGCCAGGAGCATACTGCAAACATCTGGGATTCCCGGCAAACGACACGTCCCATGGTGGAACACGGAGTGTCGTAATGCGCGAAAGGAACAGAACAGGGCATGGAGATCGCTGCGGAACTCGCCAACAGCGGAAAACCTCGAGAGCTTTAAGAAAATAAAATCTCGAGGCAGGAGAACGCGTCGGCAGGCCAGAAGAGAAAGTTGGCACAAGTTTTTATCAGGAATAAATTCGTATACACAAGAGGCCAAAGTCTGGAACATGGTTCGTAGGGTAGCAGGAAGAAAAGTACACTCACTCCCACTCGTAAACACTCAGGGTGATACCTTGGAAGATCAGGCGAACTTCCTCGGTGCACACTTTGAACGGGTATCCAGCTTGTCCCACTATACTGACACTTTCCGAAAATACAGAACAAGAATAGAAAAGCAGAAACTCGAACACAAATCCATCAGATACGAGGCATATAACCAAGCTTTCTGTCTAGCTGAGCTCCGAACATCTCTAAACTCCTGCAGTACTTCTGCCCCAGGTTTTGACCGTGTGATGTATGAAATGTTAAAAAACCTACCAAACGAAACCCGAAAAACCTTACTTTGTTTGTACAATGCTATTTGGTCTTCTGGCACTATTCCTACCTCCTGGAAAGAGGCTATTGTTATTCCCATTTTGAAAGAAGGCAAGGACCCTTCTTTACCCTCGAGTTATAGGCCTATAGCACTTACAAGCTGCTTGTGCAAAGTCTTCGAAAAAATGATAAACTGCCGACTTGTACATTTTCTTGAAACAAATAATTTGCTCGACCCATTTCAGTGCAGGTTTCGAGAAAGTAGATCCACCACAGACCACCTTGTTCGTATCGAGGCACAGATCAGAGACGCCTTCGTCCATAAACAATATTTTCTCTCTGTGTTCCTCGATATCGAAAAGGCTTATGATACAACATGGCGTTTCGGAATTCTAAGAGACCTGTCCCACCTTGGTGTGCGCGGAAGAATGTTTCATATAATCGAAAGTTACCTGTCAAACCGGACATTCCGTGTCTGTCTGGGCAGTGTGCTCTCCCAAACATTTGTCCAGGAAACAGGCGTGCCACAAGGTGGTGTGCTTAGTTGCACACTTTTTATTATTGAAATGAATTCTTTGCACTTGTCCATTCCCCACAATATGTTCTATTGTACATATGTCGATGACGTTCAGCTTGGCTTTAAGTCATGCAACTTGGCCATGTGTGAGCGGCAGGTACAGCTGGGTTTAAATAAGGCCTCCAAATGGGCAAATGAAAACAGATTTCGACTTAACCCACAAAAAAGCACATGTGTCTTGTTCTCTCGAAAGAGAGGCATGCACTCGGAACCTGACATTCGTCTGAATGGGCTACGTCTGTCCGTCAAAGCCGAGCATAAATTCTTAGGCTTAATCTTTGACAACAAGTTGACCTTCGTACCCCACATAAAGTATTTAAAAACAAAATGTTTGAAAGCCTTGAATGTTATAAAAGTGTTGTCACGTACTACGTGGGGTAGTGACAGGAAATGCCTCATGAACCTGTATAGAAGCCTTATTCGCACCCGCTTAGATTATGGGGCCATTGTTTATCAGTCTGCTACTCAAAGTGCTTTGAAGATGTTGGATCCCGTGCACCATTCGGGCATCCGCCTTTTTACGGGTGCTTTTCGCACCAGCCCCGTAGAAAGCCTTTACGTTGAGTCAAATGAGTGGTCGCTTCATCTGCAAAGAACCTACATGTCCTTTGTATATTTCCTTAAAGTGAAAGCAGACGAGAGGCACCCCTCATACTCTACTATAATGACTTGTCGAGCTCCATTCTTTTTCAAAACAGGCCTTCAATGAGGCAGCCCTTCTCAGTTCGCCTGAAGGGTCTAGCTGAGGACACTGGAGTGTCACTCGAACACAGTTTAATGGCTCCTGTAGCATACCCGCCACCGTGGCAGTGGCAGAATATAGATTGTGATGTGTCTTTCCAAGAGGTTACTAAACATGCGCCTATTGCCCATATTCGAACATACTTCTTGGAACTTCAACACAAATACACACGTCCTGAGTTTTTTACAGATGCCTCTAAGTCTAACTTTTCTGTGTCCTACGCTGCTATTGGCCCTTCCTTTTCGGATGCTGGCCCTCTACATCCAGGCACAAGTATCTTCACAGCGGAAGCTTACGCGATACTTGTGGCAGCTAAACACATCAAACAATCACAAATACAAAAAGCAGTAATTTATACAGACTCCCTCAGTGTGGTAACGGCTCTGCACAGTCTTAAAAAACAAAAAAACCCTGTCCTCGTTTCCCTTTACTTCATTTTATGCACACTCTACACACTCAACCAACATGTTGTAGTGTGCTGGGTGCCAGGGCACCGTGAGATTCAAGGCAACGTGAGGGCGGATCAGCTCGCTGCTTCCGTCCACAAAAGCACTGCCCCTACACCCATATCAATCCCGGCCCTTGATCTTAAGCCGTCTCTCAAACGAAACCTCAGGGTATACTGGCAGAGCAAGTGGGATACACACACACAAAACAAACTACACGTTATTAAGCCACACCTTGGTCATTGGCTTCCCGTATCGAAATCGCGTCATACAGAGGTAATACTAACGAGACTCAAGATGGGACACACATACACGACACACACATATCTTTTGTCTGGTGGCGATCCACCATTGTGTGACAGATGTGGTGAAGCATTGACAGTCCTTCACATGTTAATCCAGTGCAAACACTTAGAAAATCTACGAAAACAACATTTTCCAGTACCCTACCGACAGCATATACCTTTACACCCTGCAATGTTCGTCGGTAGGGAACCGCTTTTTAGTCATAAATCAGTGTTAGTGTTTTTAAAAGAAATTCATAATTTTCATATCATATACCCGGGCATACCGTAGCACGACCTCTCTAGAGAGGTCTTTGCTGCGGTGGCTACACAGGAAAGCACTTGCCTCACGGCCCTTGCACGCAAAGGTACTAACGTGTGAGGTACTTGTGCTAATGCCATACATATCCACCATCTTATTATCACCAACTTTTGTCATCATTCACACCATACACATCTTTCACGGCATGGTCATCATTTTATTACTTGTGTGTTCTTACCCGCCTTATCGCGAGGAATTTTATGGCCCTTATACAGCCGCTTATCACAATCATAGTCCATATTTTTAGTAAGATGAAATGGCGCTCTTTGGCCAAAAAATGGCCCTTGCGCCAAAAAACGCCATATATCATCAACATTCCACCAGGTTGGGGCGTTCATGGATCACCAGCTACCAGCCCAGTGCCAACGAAATGATTGAGCAGTTTCTCCTACAGCTCAAGGCAACCTTCATGTGCCATCCTAACTCAACTTGGCTCGAGGCTCTCTGAGCTGTTGCTTTTTGTCTGTGTACCACTTTCGGACCAGACATCCAGGCCACACCAGTAGAGCTTGTTTAAGGTGAGCCACTTTGCCTACCTGGGTACTTTTCTTCACTTCAGTTCCCGACATGACCAGCACGGACCTTACAGACTTTATCGCCTGGCTCCATTGTACAATAGGTACACTGCACCCATCGCCAGCACCACGTCACACTAAGCCGACTGAGTTTGTGTTTCAGAAATTGGCAACATGCTCACATGCTTTTCTTTCCCACGACGCTGTATGTGCACTTTTCCAGCCACAATATTTTGGACCATATAAAGTCCTCTGTTGTAACAAGACCTTCACCCTGCAAATCAGAGGGAAGGACGTTTGTGGCTCCATTGACCAACTGAAGCCATGGTACATCCTCTCCGAGAAAAATACTACACACTCTAAGGTGCCTTCCTTAATTCAATCATGTCTACGTACAAGGCCTCAGTCGTGTCATACAACACACACTTCGGACACCGGGTACCTTTGACCTTAAGGGGGCCTCTGTGTGTGGGGGAGGGTGCAGTGACGAAACGTTGTGGCGTCGCTTCCGCGCCTGCGTGCCACCTCAATGTGCCTGAACAGGAGCATCAGCGATATGAACACTCTTGCCGAACGGAAGCTACAAAAACTGTGTATATGCCCCTGATCATATCAGTTGTTATGTCTGTCGTGTGGAAGCAATGAAGTTATGCATTCCAAAACTCTCCTGACCATGTGGACGATATCATACATTGTACGTAATTAGTTTCAAGCCTCAGCTTCTTTTGTCTCTTTTTGCCAATTGTATGGATACTACTGAATCAATGCTAAAATGATCAGTTTTTTATTTTAAAAAGCTGTCCTTCAGGCGTAGCATTGCTTAATTATCTGCAAGGCTGCAGAAGTACAATCTGTGTGTGCCTTCCTGGTGGTTCACAGGGTGGTTCGTTGGAGGGGAGGCAGTCGTCCCTCCTGGTGCTCGCGCATGCCCTCTGCCGCCGCCACCAAGCAGGCCTGGGCCTCGAGGGAGTCGCCGAGGCCATCACCCTACTAGCTGACACCTTTTGTAAGTGGCAGTGCTTACAATGTGCAGCCCATGTCATACATTGCTAAATGAATAGCACTTGAGCACTGTTTTGGGAGAGGGGATTCACAGAACACATGTTTTTTAGTCTCACAAATGTAACTCAAGGAAAATGCTCACAGAAGTCTGTGGCGTATAGGCATACATGGCATATTCTGCTCAGTTCAAAGTAATCTTTCAAGTCTTACGAAGGAATGCAATTTTGCCTAGAGTCAAATTCAACCATGGTATCAAGGCATGCAATGATCGCTTCAAAAAAAAAAAATTTACGAAGCAAGATTTTATTATCTCTTCGTGGGGCCTGGTTAAGCAGCACTTTGCTTCTTTATTTGCTGTACTATTTATTAATTTGTGGTTTATCCCAGGCAGCACCACCTCTATTTTTTCATTGCCCTTGTTCCCTCGTGCTTACGACTGTTTAGTGGTGTAGCACATTATAAGCAAGCCTTGAGTTCATGCGCTAAATAGCATAAACTGCCGCTGCAACAAGGTGATGCTTTTTTTGCTCACAACTGGCAATGCGAATGCCGACTATGAAATTTCTCCAAAATGAACTCTTACAATTGTGTTAATATAAAAAAAAGCACAGCCTCCGAAATTATGCTTCCCAGTTCTGCTGTGCAGGATTTAAGTTAACGCGATAGCTCTCGAGATGCTTCACAGAACTCTGGGGATTTTCTCATAATTCATGCTTCAGAGGATCGTGTAAGCAAGCAGTTTTTCTTTTGCTTGTGTGCTATAGAACACACTAAGAAAGGCTGGACACACATGAATGCAACACACTTGCTGAAGCTACCCAGACAACAGTAACACATTTTCAGTGTGTTTTAAAAATGTTTTCGTGAGAACGTTTGAACATCCAGAGAACATGCTCAACTAGTACAGATGGAGTCCAAGGAAGATCTTATTGTCCAGCCTCGGTAGGTTTTCTGAAGATCCACAAATGGTTCACCAGAGCATTCCTGGCACTATTTCAGGATTTGTAGGGGACTGAAACATAGTCAAATTGAATAGTATTGAAAATTAGGCAAGTTGGTAACGATTCATTGTTCGAGGTAAACAGCGTGAAAAATGAAGACAGAGGAATATGAAGACACAGGACGAGCGCTGACTTTCAACTGAAAACTATTCCTGGCACTATTTCAGGATTTGTAGGGGACTGAAACATAGTCAAATTGAGTAGTATTGAAAATTGGGCAAGTTGGTAACGATTCATTGTTCGAGGTAAACAGCGCAAAAAATGAAGACAGAGGAATATGAAGACACAGGACGAGCGCTGACTTTCAACTGAAAACTATTCCTGGCACTATTTCAGGATTTGTAGGGGACTGAAACGTAGTCAAATTGAGTAGTATTGAAAATTGGGCAAGTTGGTAATGATTCATTGTTCGAGGTAAACAGCGCGAAAAATGAAGACAAAGGAATATGAAGACACAGGACGAGCGCTGACTTTCAACTGAAAACTTTAATGAAGAAACACCGTATTGATACGGGGAAGATTTATTCACCGACAGCGGGTCTTGCTAATGCCTTAAAGAGCGCACAGTCATGCAGGCGAACGAGGAAAACTCGAGGGTCCAACCCACAACAACCACGTTGTCGTCTTCCTCCTTTTAGGTTCCATTTTAGCTGTGCCGAAGCGACAGTTCCATACACTTGTCATCACCCCGGCTGGTAAGGCACTGTCTCGGTGCTTGTTAAATGAGCGAGTCAGCGTTATAGGGCTTGAGACGAAAAACGTGGACTACTTCCATTCTGGGTGCAGCAGCCGATGAGTTTGTGGTAGCAGAAATCTCGTAGGTCACAGTTGTGACCTGACGAAGGACTCAGTAAGGCCCAGGCCCAGCGTGTCGCGATAGTAGTTTCTCGCAGAGGCCAACACATCGAGATTGGAGCCATAGGTGAACAAGAGATCCCGCAGAAAAAACCAACTGCATCCCTATGCCGACGGTCGTAAAGAGACTTTTGTGCTGTCTGCGACGACAATAACCGAGCGCGGGCTATCGCGCGTGCCGTGAGGGTACGGGTGATGGCATCCTGAGCGTACGAAGTGGAGGATGGCTGGTCTAAAGAAAGCAGTGTGTTGAAGGGCAGTAAGGGATGACGTCCGAAGAGTAGATAAAATGGGGAGTAGCCCACTGTTTCATGACGCGACGAGTTAAAGGCGAAAGTAAGGAGCGGCAGAGCTATGTTCCAATCGGTGTAGTCGGTAGATACGTACATAAAACGCATGTTTGTCAATGTGTGGTTTATGCGCTCTGTAAGGCCGTTAGTCTGAGGGTGGTAAGATTTGGTGAGGTTATGACGGGTAGCACAAGATCGAAGTAGATCATCAACCACACGAAATAGAAAGTGGCTACCATGGTGTGTGAGTAGGTGAGACAGAGTGCCATGCTGGAGAATAATTTCGTAAAGCAGGAAGTCGGCAACGTCGGTTGCGCCGCTGGTTGGTAGCGTTCGAGTGATTGCATACCCAGTGGCATAATTTGTGGGCACTGAAATTCTTTTATTTCCAGTTGTGGAAGTAGGAAAGGGTTCTAGCAAGTCCAACCCCACTCGATAAAATGGCTCGGCTTAAACATCGATAGGCTGAAGAAGACCTACAGGGGGAGTCGTAGGCTTCTTTCGGCGCTGGCAGAGGTCGCAAGATGCGACGTAATGGCGAACAGAGCGGTAGAGACCCTTCCAGAATACTCGTCGTCAAACGTGGTCGTAATTTCTGCGAGACGCCTAGATGTCCAGAAGTTGGAGCGCGTGAAATTGTCGCAGAACATCCTTTCGCAGGTGATGTGGTACGGCGAGTAAAAGTTCCGCACCATGAGGGTGTAAGTTGGGGCGGTACAAAACATTGTCTTGAAGCAGGAATCTGCTAAGGGAAGGGTCAGTATGATGCGATTGAAGGCAGTCAGTGATGGTGAGCAGCGATGGATGTCGGCGCTGTTCGTCGGCCACGTTCATAAAGTCAGTGATGGCTAAAACGCAGGCAACGGATTCCAAATCGGTGAAGTTAGGTGGATCAATGAAGTGCCGGTATAAGCAGTCAGCATCGCTGTGCAGCTTTCCAGATTTGTGCACAACCGAGAACGTGTGCTTCTGTAATCGAAGTGCCTATCGGCCGAGTCTTTCTGTAAGGTCCTTAAGCGTCAACGGCCAGCAAAGTGCACGATGGTCCATGATGACTGCAAACGAACGTCCGTATAAGTACGGACAGAATTTCGCAATGGCCCAAATGAAGGCTGAGCATTTCTGCTCAATGATGGAATAATTTTTTTTCGCTTGCGACAGAAGGCGACTAGCGTAGGCTATCACAGGGTTCATGTCATTCTGTGTCTGAGCGAGTATAGCACCAATGACATGGCTGCTTGCATCGGTGCGAAGCTCTGTTCGAGCGGCTGTTTAGGCTATCACAGGGTTCATGCCATTCTGTGTCTGAGCGAGTATAGCACCAATGACATGGCTGCTTGCATCGGTGCGAAGCTCTGTTCGAGCGGCTGGTTCAAAATGAGCCAACACAGGGGGTGATGTGAGGATGGTAACCAGCGACACAAAGAAATGTTCTTGGTCCTTCCTCCAAGAAAGGGGCACATTCTTTTTGAGGAGATCCGTGAGGAGCCTAGCAATATTTGGGAAGTTGAAGACAAAGCGGCAGAAGTATGAGCAGAGCCCAATAAAACTGCGAACTTCTTGTGTGAAACGCGGAAGCGAGAATTCTCGGACTGCACGAACTTTGTCAGGGTCGAGTTGTACACCGATAGCGTCAACAACGTGGCCGAGTAGTTTAATCTGCTGGTGTCCAAATGCGCATTTTGACAAATTCAGTTGGAAACTAGCGCAACGAAAAACTTTTAGAATTGCCGAGACACGACACGGGTGGCTTTCGAAGGAGGGCGATAACACGATTACATCGTCCAGATAGCAAAGGCAGGTCAACCATTTGGAACCGCAGAGAAAAGAGTTCATCATACGTTCAAAAGTAGCCGGAGCATTGTACAACCCAGAAGGCATGACCTTGAATTGGTAAAGGCCCTCAGGTGTGATGAATGCGGTCTTCTGGCGGTCACAGTCGTCGACCGAAATTTGCCAGTATCCGAATCTAAGGTCAAGGGACAAGAAATAGTTGGAGTTATGGAGGCAGTTGAGCGCGTCATCGATTCGGGGTAGAGGATAAACGTCCTTCTTGGTGATGCGATTCAGGTGGCGATAGTCATCGCAAAAGCGCCAGGTGTTGTCCTTCTTTTTAACTTAGATCACAGGGGATGCCCAAGGACTCGATGAAGGCCCAATGACGTCTTTGCTGAGCATTTTCTGGACCTCCGTCTGTATAACTTGGTGCTCAGCATGTGACACGCGGTAAGGGCGCTTGTGTAGTAGACTGGCATCGCCGGTGTCGATGCGGTGGACTGCAGCACTTCTGCTGCCCAAGGGACGGTCGTCGATAATATCCAGGTAAGAAAATAGAACATCCCAGAGCGCTGCAACTTGGGAAGGTAAGAGGTCGCTGGATATCATTCTGTTGAGGAACACCTTATATTGCGGGGTGATGACAGGCTTTGCCACGGTCTTAGTGTCAGAGGTGAAAGAACAAGCCGAACATTCATTCAGGGTGGAAAGATCGGCTAAAGTGATGCCTTGTGGAAGAACTTGGGTCGACGTAGAGAATTTCAGAACAGGGAATAGCGCCGTGTTGTTAGCAACAACCACTATGGTATGTGGTAGTCCGATGTGGTGCGTAAGGGTCACATCAATGAGGGGAGCCACCAGATAGCCTCCATCAGGAACGAACGGAAAGGGCGACATAGGAATGTACATAGCAGCCTGGGACGTTAGTCGTAGAGACTCCACAGATCGTAGCCGAGTGCGACTTGGAGGAATGAAACTTGTGCACAAAAGCAATTCGGCCATAAGATACCGGTAGAACAACCGATGAGGGCGGGGTGGGTGGTTAAAAAATAAATTCCAAGGATGACGTCGTGTGGACAAGC